GATTATTAATATTCAAAGTGATCAAGAAGTTGCTAAGTTGCGTAATGTAAGAAACAAAGAAGGAACAGAATTTTAACAGATGGTCAATAGGATGGTAGTTACGTAAGAATCAAGAGATGAATGTTGAGAAGTTATTAAGTTCAAAAGCAATAGAAATAAAATTACAAAAGTTCAAAAAATTACAAAAGTTTTTAAAAATTAAAAAATGGAAGAAGTATGAAAAATAGTTTTTTTGAAGGAAATCTTAAACTGATGGCCAGGGCAGGGAAAGTGGTTGTACGAATCTCTTTTGTATGCAAAGGTCAGGTTTGTGAACATGGATTGCGATGGCTTCCGCAATGTGCAAGAGGCGCACTCGTAAACCATGTGGCAAATTAGATGGGATATTGTAGATAACCATCTAATTTGCCACATGGTTTACGAGTGCGCCTCTTGCACATTGCGGAAGCCATCGCAATCCATGTTCACAAACCTGACCTTTGCATACAAAAGAGATTCGTACAACCACTTTCCCTGCCCTGGCCATCAGTTTAAGATTTCCTTCAAAAAAACTATTTTTCATACTTCTTCCATTTTTTAATTTTTAAAAACTTTTGTAATTTTTTGAACTTTTGTAATTTTATTTCTATTGCTTTTGAACTTAATAACTTCTCAACATTCATCTCTTGATTCTTACGTAACTACCATCCTATTGACCATCTGTTAAAATTCTGTTCCTTCTTTGTTTCTTACATTACGCAACTTAGCAACTTCTTGATCACTTTGAATATTAATAATCCTCTTTCTTCCAATTAATTAATGTTAATTTAAATGTCATTATGTCATTATTACGTAACGTATCCACTCGATGAGTATTATATTATTATTGTAAAACGTATATATATTAGTGTAGAGCCATGATGAAAAACTAATTGAAAAGAGATTTCTATTAATTGAACTGAATAGTATTTTACATTAATTGGTCAATAACTTACTGAATTAACACATTTACATCATGCAATTAAGCATCTGTAACCTCAAAAATATAGCCAATTGAAAAAGTCATATAATTACTCCTCAAAATGATATTACGTGTCATGGACGATCAGTTTCACATGTTAGTCTCACTTTAATCGATTAATTCATCCCCTGATAACAATACCAACAATAATAATACTATTGTCACCCATAGTATTGTAGTTCGCTGACAGCTTGACAATTACTGGCTACCCCACACTAATTGATTACAGAGTTGTAATCAGAGTTATATTGCACAGCCTGATATTGTCTGGTATAAATATTCGTTTATAGATGGTAATTTTGTTTGAATATACTATAAATCCTCATTATGTATGGTGAAATGCTAACATCATACTCAGATTTTCGAAAACCATATTAAGGTTTATCAAAGATTTTTCTACTAATTTAACCAGATTTAAAACTAAACCATGAGAGACTAGTCTTCTATTTGATGTTTGACATTTCCTAGGTATTAATTATTCACTAAGAATGTTTCATCAGTAAAACTAACTGCTGAATATATCTTCAAATGTTTATCCCCACATATACCATAAATCATAGAAAGAGTCAACTAGATGAACTTGAACAAGCCCACCGTGACCATCAAATATTTCGTAACCTAATGGTAAAGTGAAAAAGAATTCTCTTCAAATAAGCCGTGAAAATATCACGCATTAGTAGTTATTGATTGTAGGCGTCATCGCATGATCCGCAACTCCAGAATTAACCATCAACTCAACAGTAAATTGACAATAATTTTGAACTACAATGCACGATGTCATTCATTGGATTGCCTCACTAAATTAATAGGTAAATTTGATTCGCACAACATACTGCTTCACTAACGTCAGTTTACTGATTTACTCAGGATAGGAAATAAAGTAGTCGAACCCGTCGAAAACTTCACTTATCATGGAAGTCTGATCAACCCTAATGGATTAGTGTTTGATGAAATCTCTACACGGATTCGAAAAGCTCGTTTGACTTTTGCCAACTCATCTCACCTATGGCAAAAACGAGATATCCATCTATCAATAAAAGGACGAGTATACTGTGCGGCAGTTCGTTCTGTTTTACTTTAAGGCTACGAAAAGTAGCCATTAAGAGTAGACGATGCGCGTAGGTTACTAGTATTTAACTACAGATGCCTTATAAATATTGCTCGCCTCTGCTAGGATCACCGGGTAAGTAATAATGAGGTTGCCCGCAAATGCCCTGGTATGGCCGAGAGTGAGGTGGCCCCGCCCTCCCTCTCGAAATGCTCTCACACGGCCACACGTATATAGCCTCTGCCAGGGAAGTCCTACTCATTGCCTTCTCGTGGCGGGGTTGTTGTTTATGAAAATGAGGACGAAAAGCGAATGTCCGGCGCTTTAGCCGGATTCCAAACCAATGGTTCACATGGGCTCCAGTATCCCAAGGGAACAAATGGCGTATGAACCATTCGTTGGTCACTAGCTACCTTGGGACAGCATTTCCTCACAATGCTCCACTGCCTTGTGAATCAGACCTTTAGGTCAAAGGCTCAGGGTGTAGCCCCCTAAGACAACTACCTGCTTCGATCTGGGCACCCGGGTAGTATCACAACCCACACACAAATGATGAACTGTCTATACTTATGGACACTACTTTTCTTGCTTCGAAAAACAATCAAATGGTTCAAATTATTATTATTAATTTTATTATTTACTACGTCATTATTCACCCTCTTTTATTTCTACTCTGTCTACACTTATTTTTTCGACTTATACAGCAGCTCGTCTATGGTGGAAATTCGACTGTATCTAAACGTTCTCGAGTCACTGCCTAGTTGAACATTGTATGCCACCACAAAAAACGAATACTGAAGCAGTTTTTCTGAAACCACGTGCACCATTCAAACTGGCTGCCTTCAACGTTCGCACATTTATGCAGGTCGGACAACAGATAGGGCTGGCTATGTCTTTGGAAAGTCTTAATATTGATGTTTGTTGTCTATCCGAGACCCGTATTCAAGAATCTGGTGAAGTACTACAAATTCGATCTCCATCTGTCGCTTCGAAAAGCTTGTTTTACGTGCGTCTATCCGGAGACCCTGTGGCATCTTCGTCTGGTCTTGCTGGCGTTGGTGTCGCACTAAGCGCTAGAGCTGAGGCAGCACTAGTCGATTGGATCCCCATTAACAGTCGGTTATGTGCTGTTAGATTAGAAAGTTCCATCAAAGTGAGAAGAAATCGACGTGAGAAACGATGTCTTTTCGTCATCTCCGCCTATGCCCCGACAGATTGCAGCCCGGATGGAATCAAGGATGAGTTTTACCACCAGTTATCTGTTCTTCTCCAGAAAGTGCGTCCGACAGATATTGTAGTACTAGCCGGAGACTTGAATGCTCAGGTCGGGCGTCTAGGCACAGAAGAGAGTCGTTTAGGTGGCCGATGGGGACTCGTTGGTCGCAGGTCAGATAACGGGGACCGTCTACTGCAACTTTGCACAGACCACAACCTGCTTCTGGCTAGCACTAACTTTCGGCACAGTCATCGCCGATGTGCCACCTGGCGTCCTCCCTCTGCATCTCAAGCCTGGACTCAGATTGATCACATCGCGATCAGCTACCGCTGGCGTGGTTGTGTACAAGACTGCCACTCCTTTTGGAGTACCTATCTGGACTCTGATCATGCCCTGCTCTGCGCCAATCTTACCTAACTTTTCATTGGCTAACAAAGTGACCACCACCAACGGATTGATATTAGCAAGCTGGTTGCAACTTCTGTAGCTAGTAGGTATCGAACCGAGCTAGCTACCATATTACTGAAAAGTATAGATGAACATTGGTTGCGACTTCACGACGCGATCAAAATGGTGAGTAAAGCTGCTTGCGGCTTCGCGAAACGTCTCGCTTATAAGCAATGGGTTTCTTCTGGTTCCTTACAACTCATTGAAGCCCGTCGGTCTACTCTGTGTGACCGTGAGTTTGATCACAAACGAAGGCTGTTACGTAATGAAATCGGGCAAAGCTTGCTTAAGGACCGAGAAGCCTGGTGGTCGGAGCGTGCTAATGAGCTGGAAGCAGAAGCTGCATCTGGTAACTACCGGAAGCTCTTCCAATTCATCTGAGCCACTGGCAGCAAGAAGTCTGGTGTGAGCGAAACAACCTACGAGGATGATGGGACGCCAATCACTAACATCCATCGATATTCAACTGGCCTGCTGCTCCGAAAACATCGATCAGATCCTGCTGTAACCTTCTCTTACTTTCTTCATAAAAAATGGTTGTTTCTTCCCGAACTGAAAGGTTTCTTCCGATTGTACCTCTCTCTTTCCCTCATTATTATTATTACTATTATTATTATTATGATTATTATTATTATCACTATCACTATTATTATTATTACACTACCTTACACTAATCTGTTCGTTATTGTTCTTTTTTCTCCTCGAATTCTCATTGTTTTGTGTGGCGCGTATGTATTTGGTGCCCTCTTGTACCAATATTCATGTGTCCAAATAAATAAATAATAGTGAGTTTAGACGCAAGGTATTAGGGAATGATGATAAATCAGTCGATAAGGTTGTAAATTTTCATCGACTGAGGTGGTTGGGCCACGTGTTGCTTATGCCTGAACACTGATTACTACGACGCACAATGTTGACTAATGCTGGAGACGGTTGGAAGAAAGTTAGGTGTGGCCAAAACAAAACGTTGCATCAGTCCTTGAAGTCACTAACTTCTGGTCTGAACCATGTTGGTAGATGCAAGCTATTTGGTTGGGGTCTGCGCGACTATCATAACCAATGATTTGAGACTTTGGGTGACATGGCTCAAAATCGATCACAATGGTGTCGGTGAGATTAAAATTACTTTATACCTCTCTTTCTACGAAATAATTCTTTCTTCCTGTATTATATCCTTGTACGGAATCTATATGGATATATATTACTAACACGAGAAAGACGACGCCTAAGTGTTACGGAAAAAGCCACATGAAATTCTGTTGAATGTGTACGAAAGAAATCAGATAGTTCAGATCGTACTCACATTTACTCAGTATAAAATTAGATAGGCAAAATATAATGGGAAAGAAGCATCTTTGTACAAAAACTGAAATAAGAAATACAATTTAAGATGAGAACAGTTTGGTTGACTCATATGTAATCACTCATAATCACGAACAACAGCATCACTGTCACGAAACTAACCACATATAGAGCCAGATAAAATTAGGCTTCCAATTCCAATTCGTTTATCTCGGCTTCAATGTCAGCCAGATCTGTTTCATCAAACAGTTCTTCATCGATTACAACATCTACATTGAAAAAAAAATCGTAAGAGATCGACTTGAAGTAATACGCAACAATCACCCTTGAGATAACCGTCAATAAAACAACTATCTCGTCGAATTAAATCTGTTTGGTTAATCAATCGATTTTCCATTCCCAATTGGATTAATAACTGTTAAAAACTTATCTCCAAGGTTTTTGCTCCTGATTAATGAAGACTACATAGCTTCACTGTGTGGCATTCTACACAGTTTCACATTAAAATCCGACTAACCCTTGCTGATATCCTGGGTAGTTTACACTGTTGACACCATATTGCCAACGACTCCCAAACTGAGAGGTAATGTCTACCCTGTGAATCCTGGTTTTCAGTGATTCGTCAGGTAAACTCAATCATTGACGAATACTGCCTCGAAATACAAAGAAACAAAATGTATTGTAGAAACATAAGGAAACAAATAACCAGTTGGATTTTGAGCACAGAAATGTAAATATTTTATTTGCAATTTTTTCATTGATGACTAATGAGATTAGTTGCGTGGTAGTCTTGAGAATTTACTACCAGACTACTGAAACATTATTTAACAGTATCAATATATTCTCGATAAAATATAGCGAAGCCGAAAGACATTTTAACTTCTCATCTTTTGTTGATATATTACAATTCACTAATTGAGATTGTGGTCATGACAGACTCACATACCCACAGTGTGGAAGTAGATATTCTAGATACATTTCCCATAATACACAAATCCAGTATACTTACTGTGATAGAAGAACGCTACAGGTCCAAATACAAGCGTCAGTTGTCATTATCTTAGTACATCATTTTAAATCCTGCTTTACGGTTGATAATTCACTTTACTGAGGAATGAAATTAACTCCTATAAATTATCTTATACCCATAATAAAAAAAATACGTATAAAATAGATTACAACAATTTATCATATTATTTCTGAGACAAGACCTAAACACACATAACAACAATTTATAATATCCGGGGGAGAGCGGCGGAAATACCTTAACTGACAGGCAGAACACTATAGGAATCAGTTCAACTGGCCTTCAGTCACGCTTCGGTTTCCCACAATTTCCAGTCGACCTGAATGGCAAGTTAATGTAAGTCCTCCAACTCTTTACGATGCTGAAAAAGCTACAGGAAATCTGAAGCGAGGGAGAGCAGAAGGCCCTGACAGGTTTATCTCTGAGATTTTTAAAGAAGGTAGTCCAGTATTAGCAGTGAGATTAACTGAGGTGTTAGGTAGAATTTGGGAACTAGACGTAATCCCATCCGACTCTGGTCTCAATCACTGATTGTGCCAGTCTATAAGAAAGGAAAAGTCCTCTTGTGACAAGCACAGAGGAATTGGTTTGACTAATATAGTGTCTAAAATATTAGCTTCAATAATACTTCAACGCCTAACCAAAGCTCGTGAAGAGCAGACTAGAGAAAATCAGGCTGGTTTTCGACCTGGACGTGGTTGTATAGACCAGATATTCACACCACGTTGGGTCCTAGAACATAGACACACATTTAGGCGCCCCCCTCATTCGACTCTGTTGATCGTGAGGTTCTATGGCAGTGTTTGTCACTGAAAGGGGTACCAAAGAAGTACATTAACCTTATAAAGGATCTCTACTCGAACACAACTGGTAGAGTGAGAGCTTATGGCGCACTGCCATCAGAATTGATTACCTCAAGTGGTGTTCGTCAGGGCTGTCCACTCTCCTTATTCTTATTTAACTTTTTCGTTGACGTGCTTTTAGAGATAACACTTTCCTCATCTAAATTTCCAGGGGTTGAACTTCTACCTGGAAATTCACTTTTTGACCTAGAATATGCCGATGACATAGTTCTATTTGGTGAAGACGCTGACAAAATGCAGAGTCTTCTGACCACTCTAAGCAACAGTGCAGGCATGTTCGGAATGCGATTCTCCCCCTCGAAATGTAAAATGTTGCTTCAGGATTGGGTTGCATCGACACTCAAACTAATGATAGAGAGTGAAGTAGTTGAGCGTGTCGACCTCTTCACTTATCTTGGAAGTCTGATCAGCTCTTGTGGTCTGGTGTGTGACAAAATCTCAGCACGGATATAGAAGGCTCGACTAGCTTTTGCCAACTTGCGTCATTTACGGAGTAGGCGAGATATCCGTCTATCAACCAAAGGACGTGTTTACTGCGCAGCAGTTCGTTCCGTCCTACTTTATGGCAGTGAAACATGGTCGGTAAGAGCAGAGGATATTTGTAGGTTACTAGTATTTGATCATAGGTGTCTTCGAAACATTGCTCGTATATCATGGGACCATCGAGTAAGTAACACAGTTGTTAGGAATCGGGTACTAGGTAAGAATAGCAAATCAATTGATGAAGTAGTGAAACTTCATCAGTTGGAATGGCTGGGACACGTGTTACGTATGCCCAACGACCGACTGCCTCGACGTGCGATGTTCAATGGTATAGGAGTAGGTTGGAAGAAAGCTAGGGGCGGCCAGACCAAAACATGGCACAAGTCCATGAAGTCACTGACAAGTGGACTGAGTCATGTTGGTAGGTGTAGACTACCTGATTTGGGACCGCGAGATGATAACAACTGACAGTTAGAGACGTTGAATGACATGGTTGAAAGTCGTTTGTAATGGTGCAGGTGCATTTACTCTTTGTGTTCTCCCAAATTCTAATCTTCTGAATTCTTCACATCCCTTTTTCCCTCTTTCCAAATTTATTTCACTGGATTATACTCTTTAAATAACATCTCCAAACCCTAATCTTCCCGATTACTGCTTATACTCTTGCTACCTCTACCACTACGGGATATGAGTCGGCAATTGTATCTGTGTGCTAATGTGGTGTGGCAACTCGAACTGATGTACGTACTTACGAAGTTCAACGTTGTCACTAACTGACTGATCTTAACTGATAAAAAATAGAGGAATAAAAACGTAGATATGTCATCTCCTGTTATATCCGACTGAGAATATTTGAGAGGTAACATCCAGGAAATATTTACGGACTACATATAACTACTTAATTTTGCCTCTATATCTTCTACAGTTACTGTCGGTTCCGAAGTCGGAAAAGGGTGTGTTGGCTATGGGGTCAGCAACCACATCCCGCAGTAAACATCTTGGTAAAAAACATCAACCAGATTAAGCAAATTGAAACATTTAAATTATATCCTCCGAGTTAAAGGATATTCATTCAGAAGAATTACAACGCATCATGGTGAAAGACGAGATACTTCAGAAGTCACATGGATGATGCTCAGGAAGAGACCTGACCATCCTGATGGGAGACAAAAACTCCAAAGTCAGAATGAACAACACTGGGTATAAAGATAACATAGAAAGGCATGGACTGACTGGAGGAATGGAACGACGGACTACACTGCAAAGTCATTCATGGAGGACGACTGACAGACTCACTCCAAGTGAAAACCAGTATCAGACAAGGCAACTTATTCTCTTTCTCTATTCTTTCTTCTGGCAGACGAATGGGTTATGATGACCCGCATATCTCAGGAAGAGCACAGAATACTATGGACAGCTTGCATGCAACTAGATGATTTCGACTTCGCAGATCACCTAGCACTTACACTTCATACACACCAACAGATGCACGTGAAGATAGAGAGTATAATAGCAGTCCCTACATCAGTAAGCCTCAACATACACAAGGGAAGAAACAACACCCTCAAATAAGACACAGAAAACACCAACCAAACTAATCACACTCGATGGAGAAACTCTGCAACAGGTGGAAACACCACCCACCTGGTCAGCAGCATCATCATCGATGTACAAGGAGGATCTGATGCACAAGTAGAGACAAGGATTCGAAAAGTAAGCGCAGCATCCCTACAGTTGAACAACATACGCAACTCCAAACAACCATCTCTCAACCAACATCAAAGTCACAATCTTCAATGCGAACGTCAACACAGTCAGTCAGTCAGTCCTACTGTACGGAGCTGAAACTTTGACAACTAGCACAACCATAATCAAAAAGGTACAAGTATTTATAAACAAATGTCTACTCAAGATACTCAACATATGTTGGTCGGATGCCATCAACAATAAACTACTGTGGGAGAGAACAAACCAGTTTCCAGTTGAAGAGGAAATTGGCAAAAGACGTTAGGGGTGGATAGGATATGCATTGTGGAAATAACCAAACTGCACATTGAAGCAAGCGCTAACTTGGAGTCCTGAAGTTGAAATGAAAAGAGGAAGACCGAAGAACTACGTCGGGAATCGGAAGCATACATTAAAAGAATGAAGAGCACTTGGAAACACCGTGAGAGAAGAGCGGAGGCAAAGTTAGATGGAGAATGCTGGTGGGCGGCCTGTGTTCATCCACGAGAGGTAACAGAGGTAGGTAAGTAATAATTATGTACACACATACCTTCTTATTGTATAATTAAGTAGTTAGATTAGACATTTTTATATTCCTTTCATGAAAAGCCTTCGTTTGACCCATTAAATACTAATATACAATTTACTATCCTTGATTCGTTCCCAATCTATTATTTACAGCCTACCCTACTGACAACCAATTTTGGCTTGGTCTTGTATAATTTTTAATTTTTATTTCATGGTGTGATGCGGTCTAGTCTACCTGTGTATAAACTACATATGTTTGGGATATAATATCCATACGATGGAGGCTGATCATCGTGTTCTGAACTCAGCGGGCAGAGAAAGGCAAGAAGCCACAGTATCGAAGAACAACGAGGATTTAGAGTTGACTCAAAACTACTAGTACTGATTGGCTTAGGGACAAGGTCACAGAAGACGATATTCCGAATGGTGGTTTGTCACGTGAATTTGATAGGGTCAGAAGAAAAGGCAATTCTCGCATGAAGAAACAAGAATGGTATATTCTTACTTAATGCATTTGTGAAGCCTTTGTGATCATAATGCCTGTAAAATATCAGATGTACTTGGTTTCAAATCACACATTAAGTGATAGGACTCGCTACAATACCCAACGGCTCAAAAGTTAGTAAGCAGAGCAAGATTCAAACCTGTGACCTGGCTGACAGTTGGACTGCCTTACCACTAAACCACTCCTATCTGAATGTGAGCATTGTTACGGATTATTTTTATAAATAACGTACTTCAGATTAAAAACAGAATGTACAATTATGCGTACTTTATGGTGGAAAACAAAACAACCAATAGAAATGATAATTAACTAACCATCATTATTATATCCATTTTCGTGAATTTCGCTAACTCCCGGTATAGCACAATCCCCTGTTAATTCAGTTCTATTATCGTCTGAAATATGAAAAGAGCTTTATGCTGTGAATGTTTAACATTACGTCTCTGAAAATAAATTCTAAATACACCTTGTTGGTGAGTTCTAAATACCAAGAAACCTAGATCTAGAGATCCGAACCGATTAACTGAATCCCCTAACACATCAACGATCTTATTGGGAGATAATTTAGAGTGATTTCGATTTAAAAAATAAACGAAAGTAATTTGAAATGTTTAAGTTGAAATACTGAAAACTCTTAGCAAGCATAGATGGATATTTCAGTAGCTCCGTATTTACTGAGCTAAATGGTTTAATTGTGAAGCTTCTATGGTCATTGTGAACAATAATAATATCGGTCACTACCATATGAAAAAGGAATTGATGTTGTCCAGAACAGCGGAGGAAAATCCGCAATTAATGCCACTAAACGCATCCACCTAAATTGTAAACCTTCATCACAAATAAACATGCTTTAGGAAACAATGATATTCCCCAATGTTTTAATAAACTTAGCCTTCTGATGTGACGGAATCCCCCATTTTCAGTATTCTCTCGAAATGACGCCACACACACACGTTAGAACTTTTAAAACAGTGGAACATTTGTATGGTGTTAAACTTGAACGTGGCAAGTCAGATAAGTTATGAAACGAAACTCGAACTTAAGAAAGAACTAAAATCAGTTTCAAAAATGTTCTTAATGTATATAAAGACTAATAAGTATTCACCACACAAATCGGGTGTATAACCAGGGTAGCGCTGATCATTTGAAACAAACTATCTGTTGTCTCGTACAACACTGATTTGCATAAAAGCTATATCATATATTGTAAACTCGAGAGTAGGAAATAAGAAAAGATTCAATAACAGTATATCGCAAGCTCTACATGACATATATATATATATATATATATATATATATATATATATAGGACGAAATATAACGTGGTGCAATATTCAACACTTTTTTTAATTTGAACAAAATTTGCTAAATACCATGAATTTTTTATTTTGTTCTGTAGATCTTATTGTTTCTGCTACAAAATCATTAAGAGAGCCAAAAGTACGCGACAATTTCAATTGGTTGAGGACAGAATAAGAGAATAGCTTAAATAACTTTACATAAACCACACAAACTTACTGTCTTCACAATCAAGTACTTCGATCGCAAACATATTCAAGTCAATATCCCTGACAGGACCATCATACTAAAAGATAAAAAAACACAGGACATTATACAAACAGTAAGACAAAACAAGCGGACTAAAATGAGACCAGGCAACACCAATGAAAATGTTCATCACTGACGAAAAGCACTAAAGTGACAACTCAAAATTAACTATGATATGATCAAGGGTGCCATCATGAATAAACTTCAGTGATTTGATTGACAATGTAAGAATCGACAGATTTATTACATAATCACGTTTGTATATCATGAAGGTATACTAACTCACTACACTTACTAATCTTGTACATCTAAGAATTCAGCAAAAGTCAAATGTTAATGTGTTCAACCAAATAACAGGACACAGAAACTATAGTGTCCACGATGGCGGGATACCAGGAACTTAAATTCATTTTACTCAAACTAGTTTTCTGTGTTTACTGAATGAAGACTTTATTATCTTCTAATCCAACTCATTCATAACGAACGCTTCCTAAACGCTTGCCTATCTAGCTACCTAAAAGGAAAGGGACGAATAATCCAAATGCTTGCAGTAAGTCAGTTCATGTGTGCACTTCATAGCGGCTACCAGCCCTTATGATAGCATGTGATCTATCCGGACTTATAACAAGGCGAGATCTCCTTTAACTTGACCTATATATCAGACAATTGTTTCTATTTCCAAAATGGAGCAACCGAAGACTGAGATTACTTAAAACGGATAACATTTGGTTCTAAAGCCTAACGAATAGCGTAGTGAGTAAAATTAATAATACCCAGCCATCATCTCAAAAACTTCGGATGTGACCTGTCTCTTTTAAATTAAACAAACCTTCGTGTTAACGTTTCACTTAAAAATCTGGTACGTAATGAACTGTACTTCTTATGAGACAATGTCCTAGTGATCGTACTGTTTCTCTTAGTTTCCTGTCTCCCACGGGATTCAAATAGAAATATGTGTTGTATTATGTCCCTTACGCTAGTTAGTATCACTATAACTCTAAAAAATCATGAAGACAAAAATAAAAGCGATTAACTACAGTAATGCTAAAGATACTAAATCCCTAGATATAATTTCAGTCAGTCAGCTACAACGTAGGATCAGGCACATATATGCATCGGTCCAAGTTACCATACCTCATTAACACAACAAGATGGACACTGGATTCATAAAAGTAGTTAATGCAGAGGTGGTAATATATAAAAGAAAGATTGCAGTAAGGATATAGTACAGGAAGAAAGAATTAGTTCGTAGAAAGATATGAAGCAATTTTAATCTCTTAGTTTAAGGGAAGACAGAGAGTGTATACATCGACGCCATTGTGATCCATTCTGAGCCATGTCAACCAGAATCTCCAAACATTGGTTACGATAGTCACGTGGACCCCAACCAAGTAGTCTGCATCTACCAACATGGCTCAGACTAGAAGTTAGTGACTTCAAGCACTGATGCCACGTTTTGGTTTGGCCGCACCTAACTTTCTTCAAACCATCCCGAACACCGGTTAGCATTGCACGTCGTGGTAATCGGTGTTCACGCATACGTTAAACGTGGCCCAACAGTCTTAGTCGATGAGGATTTACAACCTTACCGACTGATTTACCATCATTACCTAATACTCTGCATTCAACCCTATTATTGCTTACCCGGTGATCCCAGCAGACGCCAGCAATATTTCTAAGGCATCTGTGGTCAAATACTAGTAGCTTACAAGTGTCTTCTACTCTTAATCTCCATGTTTCGTTGCCGTAAATTAAGACAGAACGGACTGCCGCGCAGTATACTCGTCCTCTTATTGATAGACAGATATCTCGCCTTCGCCATAGGTGACGTAAGTTCACGAGTCTTAGTTAAGCGTCTGATAATTATCGAGGCTAGTATTTTAGATACTATATTAGTTAAACTAATCCCTCTATGGTTGTCACAGGATGATTTTAACCCTCTTTTATATATTGGGACGATAAGTGATTGTGACCAGTTAGATGGAATAACGTCTAACTTCCAGATCTTAGCTAAAATATTAGTCAACCTAATCGCTAAACTTGGACCACCATCCTTAAAGACCTCTGGAGCCAATCCATCTGGACCAGCTGCCCTTCCTCGTTTCAAATTAACTATAGCCTTTTGAACTCCATCTAGAGTCGGGGACCTACTTCAATGTTCCATTCACACTGTCTGGGAATGGAGGGTAGTTGTAGAGTAGCTGAAGGCCAGTTGAACTGTTCTCTGAAATGTTCCGCCCATCGTTCTAAACGTCTGGACTGGGAGCAGATGAGAGTATCGTCTTTTTCCGATATAATCTCACTTACACTTGACTTATTAATTCCAGTTTCTTTTATTAGTCTGTAAAGCTGTTTTGTGTTCCCTATAGTCGCCGCCTTTTCCATCTCTTTTGCTTTCATTGCCCACCACTGCTCACGGTCGTTTCTTAGACTTTTTCTTAACCTAGATCTGATTTGTTGTCGCTCTTCATCATGTTCGGAACCTGATGGGATGAGTTTGCGAGAATCCATCAGTGTGATAGACTTTGAAGAAATCCACTGGATCTTTGTAACTCTGTGGTTTAAGTCGCTAATAGATGTCACTGATGCTTCCACAGCTGCTTGTACGTCTTTCCAAGCAACATCTGGGTCAGCCTCGTTTTCAGAACTACCTAATTGTGAACTCAGCTGTTCCTGGAACCTGTTTTTGGTTTTCTCGTTACTCAACTCAGTTCTAATGGGTCTTTTTAATGTGGCTTTTTTGCGTCAATTGAGGCGCAAGCAGATGCGTGCCCGTATTAGGGCATGGTTGGAGTCCAAGCAGGTACTCAAGAATGAGCGACAGTCTTGTACCGACCCTCTCCAACGATGACTGATGGCAATATTTTCTATTTGAGTCCATCGTCGGTTTGGTGTAGGGGGTCGCCATGTTAGACGATGTCTCTCCTTATGCTTAAAATTTGTGTTTACTAAAAATAAGCGATTGTCTGAGCATAGTTGCAGCAGACGATCACCATTATCTGTTCGCTGTGTCGGAATACTAAAATATCCACCTAAATGCCTTTCTGTTTGGTTTAAGCTACCTATCTGAGCATTAAAGTCACCCCCTACGAGTACTATGTCTGAGCGTTTAGCTTTCTGAAGAAGTTCAGAAAGCTTTCTGTAAAATTCATCTTTCACATCATCTGAGCTGCAGTCAGTGGGAGCGTAGGCAGAAACGACGAAAAGGCAACGACGTGTGTCCCTATCCTTCCGAGTTCTTACGGAGCCGTTTAGCCGAACAGCATATAGACGACTGTTGACGGGGATCCACTCTAGCAGTGCTTGTTCCGCCCACATGCTTAGTGCTATGCCTACACCTGCCAGTCCACGAGAACTGGCCATCGGGTCACCAGATACACGGAGAGTGTATCTCGTTGGCTCTCCGTTTTGCCGAGGTGAGGTCAAGTGAATGACCACACTGGAATCCTGTATGCGTGTTTCGGAGACACAGCATACATCAATGGAAAGAGACTCTAGGGTTTTAGCCAAGGAAGCCTGCTGACCGACTTGACATAGGGTGCGTACGTTGAAGGCTCCAATGTGTAGTTTGGAGCGAGGTTTCAGTAGACCTGGGACAGAGTTTTGAGCACTAGAATCGTTGGCTATGGTGACACTTGAGGGGAAAGCCGAAAGAGGAAGTTTAGAGTGGAAAGTCGATGTAGGAGGAATAATAGGAATTGAAGACGAAGGTTGATTATGAATACAGTGATCTTGGGTGCTGTTAGAGGTATGAGGGTGGTTATCACTTCCCGGTTGCCCACACCGTGGAAGGGTTGTTCTGGAGGTACCTGAAAAGGAAATTGGATTAGAGGCGGTCTCAGTGACCTGAGAGCGTGACCGCAGTGACCAAGGGACAACTGCTTGAGGCCGGTCGCACACGGCTTTTTCGTGGGAGGTTTTTGACGTGTTAGCTCCGTTCTTCAAAAGGGCCTTACCACCGGAGACGGAAATCCGTGAGGTAAGGTGAGGTGTGCATTTTTAGGGTCGACCTTTTCTAACCCCACCCCTCCTTGTGGGAAGGCAGCATCGCTGTCATGCTAGTTGTCTGTAGGAAACACCTTACTGCTGTCACACCTCTGTACAGTCAGCAGTACGACTTCGCCTTCGGACCTCGGATTTGTTGCTTTTATTCTTACCGCTCTTCAACTGACCTGTCTGACATGATAGGACCTTGAGGAACGGTTGTTCCAGTCAGTATAGTTCGGTTGCTTCATCACGATAGGCAAGCCCGACCACCACGTCAAGGTAGCAACAACGGTCGGGCTAGATATAATTTAGATATAATTCATTCGGAAGAAATCAACCTTAAAATTTGCATATCGATTTAAAGTTCTTTTCTTTAGTTGACGTCCGGTACGTTTTCATGGTAATAGTTAGTTTGCTGTGATTTGTCGTTCAAGTGAAAATTGAGATACATGTACAGTATTAAACCTAATGTTACTTTTGATTACCCCAATCTCAATACACTAGATGAGGTTGATAATCAAAAATTAGAGGTTGGAAGTCTGGCGTTTATACTAATAAGTCACAATTTCGACAACCAATGACTTAAATTTAGGAAGAAACAAATAAGATTAAATTGTATACTAACTTCATTTTCTCCATCATCACGAATTCTAGAGTCAACAACTCCAGATGTCTCGTCATCATCCAGCGCCTCCATAACCAATGCTGGGTCAAACTCAAAAATCTCCCGACCACTTATCTACAATTGGGATCAACAAATATGAAACAAGCAAAAGATGGGAATAATATAATCCATTTCAACCATTTCTTTTAGAAAATAAATAATTAAAAGTAATAAGTAAAGAATAAAATAACTTTATGAAGATGGCATAAATTAGTGTGTAAAAATCGAGAATTTTTAATGCACTTATGAAGCCAATGACACCATAAGAACCTTCCTGTTGGGAGAATATAGACTGGATTAAAGCACGTTCCGTGTACGATTGTGTTGGTGCGCGCTGATTGGCTATCTCCTATTCAATCAGCGCTAGTTGATACTTGGAGAACACTAGAATCTTCTCATGTAAAAACCGTAAATATACTAACGTTCTTCTTATTGTGTTTCCTACTTCCATCTACACTTGTTATTTGGAACATAATTTCGTTCCTGTTCAACTTTGTTCTGTTTTAGAGAATTGTCGAGTGAAGTAGTATCCAAGAATACTAAGCAATAGGAATAGCTGGGTTGTAATGAGAGGAATTATAACATCACAACCTGTACTGATGCAACCTCATGGTCATGCAAACAAGGAAACTAGCTTATGTAGATTTGACAAAACAGTGAATTAGGCCAAGTTTCAACACACCACGAGGAATCAAAAAGGTAATTAGTCAAATAAAAAGGTGATATCAGTTTGTTAGAAACAAATAATTATGGAATTGATGAAATGTGTCGTTTACAGAAAACAATAATATAATCCACTTCAATTCATTTCGCCAAACACACTCAAATTAATCACTATCACTCAGTAAACTTCATGACAGCACCCTAAAGTTCTCAAGAAGACTAGTACTGCATGATTTTGTGGGTCTATTAGATGCCTTATTTCATTTATCATGGAGCTCTATTGGCTTACTCCGATAAACACAATATAATAAATAATTCAGCAAACCCATCAAACTTTGCTCGTAACCCAAACATGGCTCAAAAAGTTGATCTCATTTGGTAATGACTAGTATTGAAAGCAGGATGTACGTTTCATTCAGTTCGAAACTCACCAGTCTCACGCTAGATGTCATTCTTAAGCCTCAACAGACGGCTGGTAATATTTTTTTATCAAATATAATTACAAAAATATAGTATACAGACGAGAACCAGCTTTCTTTTTATTCTTTACATTCAGCATAAACAGTGACACTGATGTACTTAGGACAATAAGCAGTGCCAATCTAATCGCATACCAGTAGGAAAAATGTTAGATAGTCTCCCATAAGGATAGTAATATGACCTATCTGTTTCCACTTTTACATCGACGCCTGAAGCCATCGACTAAAAATATTCTTTTGTTTTCTTTTTCCACCGAAAGAAATAAATAAACCTCTACACCATCATACATATCAGACTACTCTCCTTAAAAAGTTTTCTCTGCTTTTTTATAACATTCCGCTGGAAAGTATATTCAAGATTATAAAATCAACATACCCTTCTAAATTATAAACAAAATTGTTCTGATAACCAAAAATTGGTAGACATATGACTTCAAAGTCAATCAGTTAGTAACAACGTTGAACTTCGTAAGTACGTACATCAGTTCGAGTTGCCACACCACATTAGCACACAGATACAATTGCCGACTCATATCCCGTAGTGGTAGAGGTAGCAAGAGTATAAGCAGTAATCGGGAAGATTAGGGTTTGGAGATGTTATTTAAAGAGTATAATCCAGTGAAATAAATTTGGAAAGAGGGAAAAAGGGATGTGAAGAATTCAGAAGATTAGAATTTGGGAGAACACAAAGAGTAAATGCACCTGCACCATTACAAACGACTTTCAACCATGTCATTCAACGTCTCTAACTGTCGGTTGTTATCATCTCGCGGTCCCAAATCAGGTAGTCTACACCTACCAACATGACTCAGTCCACTTGTCAGTGACTTCATGGACTTGTGCCATGTTTTGGTCTGGCCGCCCCTAGCTTTCTTCCAACCTACTCCTATACCATTGAACATCGCACGTCGAGGCAGTCGGTCGTTGGGCATACGTAACACGTGTCCCAGCCATTCCAACTGATGAAGTTTCACTACTTCATCAATTGATTTGCTATTCTTACCTAGTACCCGATTCCTAACAACTGTGTTACTTACTCGATGGTCCCATGATATACGAGCAATGTTTCGAAGACACCTATGATCAAATACTAGTAACCTACAAATATCCTCTGCTCTTACCGACCATGTTTCACTGCCATAAAGTAGGACGGAACGAACTGCTGCGCAGTAAACACGTCCTTTGGTTGATAGACGGATATCTCGCCTACTCCGTAAATGACGCAAGTTGGCAAAAGCTAGTCGAGCCTTCTGTATCCGTGCTGAGATTTTGTCACACACCAGACCACAAGAGCTGATCAGGCTTCCAAGATAAGTGAAGAGGTCGACACGCTCAACTACTTCACTCTCTATCATTAGTTTGAGTGTCGATGCAACCCAATCCTGAAGCAACATTTTACATTTCGAGGGGGAGAATCGCATTCCGAACATGCCTGCACTGTTGCTTAGAGTGGTCAGAAGACTCTGCATTTTGTCAGCGTCTTCACCAAATAGAACTATGTCATCGGCATATTCTAGGTCAAAAAGTGAATTTCCAGGTAGAAGTTCAACCCCTGGAAATTTAGATGAGGAAAGTGTTATCTCTAAAAGCACGTCAACGAAAAAGTTAAATAAGAATAAGGAGAGTGGACAGCCCTGACGAACACCACTTGAGGTAATCAATTCTGATGGCAGTGCGCCATAAGCTCTCACTCTACCAGTTGTGTTCGAGTAGAGATCCTTTATAAGGTTAATGTACTTCTTTGGTACCCCTTTCAGTGACAAACACTGCCATAGAACCTCACGATCAACAGAGTCGAATGAGGGGGGCGCCTAAATGTGTGTCTATGTTCTAGGACCCAACGTGGTGTGAATATCTGGTCTATACAACCACGTCCAGGTCGAAAACCAGCCTGATTTTCTCTAGTCTGCTCTTCACGAGCTTTGGTTAGGCGTTGAAGTATTATTGAAGCTAATATTTTAGACACTATATTAGTCAAACCAATTCCTCTGTGCTTGTCACAAGAGGACTTTTCCTTTCTTATAGACTGGCACAATCAGTGATTGAGACCAGAGTCGGATGGGATTACGTCTAGTTCCCAAATTCTACCTAACACCTCAGTTAATCTCACTGCTAATACTGGACTACCTTCTTTAAAAATCTCAGAGATAAACCTGTCAGGGCCTTCTGCTCTCCCTCGCTTCAGATTTCCTGTAGCTTTTTCAGCATCGTAAAGAGTTGGAGGACTTACATTAACTTGCCATTCAGGTCGACTGGAAATTGTGGGAAACCGAAGCGTGACTGAAGGCCAGTTGAACTGATCCCTAAAGTGTTCTACCCATTGATCGAATCCCCTGGATTGAGAATGAATATGTCCATTCTTCTCTGAGACTGTTTCGCTTACAGTCGGTTTCCTAATACCGGTTTCCTTAACAAGTCTGAACAATTGTCTGCTAATACCTATTGCCGCTGCCTTTTTCATCTCTCTTGCTTTCGCTACCCACCACTGTTCACGGTCACTGCGTAGACTTCTTGTCAGCTTGCGCTTAAGCTGACTCCGCTCCTCATTATGTTCAGAGCCAGGCGGAATGAATTTTCGAGCATCTATCAGTGCGGTAGATGCTGCTGAGATCCAGTGTTTCTCCTTAGACTTATGGTTTACCTTACTAGTAGATAGCACTGCTGTTTCCACAGCTTTTCGGATATCATTCCATGCTGCATCGGGGTGGGTGTCACATACATGGCTGCCTAACTGTTTTCCTAGTTGTTCCTGAAATATACTCTTAGCTTGACTATCATTAAGTAGGCCCCTAAGAGGTTTCCTTGCAGCGTCTTTCCTACGTCCAGTAAGACGCAAGCAAATACGCGCTCGCACTAGAGCATGATCTGAATCTAGGCATGTGCTCCAGAATGAGCGACAGTCTTCTATCGAGCCCCTACATCGGTGGCTGATAGCGATGTGATCTATTTGGGTCCAACGTTGGGACGAATTAGGGGGTCGCCATGTTAAAAGATGTTTTTCCTTATGTCTAAAGTTAGTATTTGCAAGGAACAGGCGGTTATCTGAGCATAGCTGCAACAGACGGTCGCCATTATCTGTTCCTTGAGCCACGACACCATAAGATCCACCTAGGTGTCTTTTCCTATCGCTTAGTTTACCTACTTGAGCATTAAAGTCACCGGCCACTAATACCACATCCGAGCGCTTAGCTTTTCGGAGAAGGTCCGAAAGCTTTCCGTAAAACTCATCTTTTACGTCATCTGAGCTGTAGTCAGTGGGAGAATAGGCAGAGACGACGAAGAGGCAACGACGAGTGTCCCTATCTTTTCGGATCCTTACTGTTCCGTTTAGTCGGACAGCGCACAAACGACTGTCTATTGAGATCCAGTCTAAGAGAGCTAGTTCTGCCCTAGGACCCAACACTATACCTACACTAGTGAGGTCACGGAAAGCAGTATCAGGACTTCCAGATACACGAAGCGTGAATCGAGTCGGTTCTTTATTTTGGCATGGTGAGGTCAAGTGAATGACGCTACTCGGATCCTGTATGTGCGTTTCGGAGACGCAGCACACATCGATGGTGAGAGATTCTAAAGTCCTAGCTAAGGAAGCCTGTTGTCCTATTTGGCAGTGTTCAGACATTATAAGCTCTTACATATAGATTAAAGCGTGGTTTCAGGAGACCAGGAATAACGTCCCGCGTACTCGAATCGTTTGCCCTAGCGGTGCGAAGTGATAAAGGGACGTGATAAGGGTTAGTCGTGGAGATAAGAGAGCTATTAGGTGTAGGAAAGATTGGAATGTGACCAACTTGGTCTCATATGCTGTTACGGGTATGAGGGCTGATGTCACTTCCACACCGTGGAAGGGTATTTCTTGAGGAACCTGGAAAGGAAGTTGGATTAGTGTTGGTCTTGACGACCTGGGAGCGTGACCGCAGAGCCCAAAGGACAACTGCTTGAGACTGGCAGAGCAAGGTTTTTCTGTGGGAAGTTTTTAACGTGTTAGCTCCGTTCTTTAAAGGGCGTTACCGTCGGAGACGGACATCCGTGAGGTAAGGTGAGGCGTGACATTTTTATGGTCGACCTTTTCTAACTCCTTCCTCCTTTGTGAGAAGGCAGCATCGCTAAAGATGCTGGTTGTCCGAGGGAAACACCTTACTGCTGTCACACCCCTCTACAGTCAGCAGTACGACTTCACCCGCAGACCTTGAGTTGCTGTCTTTAGTCTAGCCGTTCTCCAACAGACCTGCCTGGCATGGTAGAACCTGCAGGAACATATGTTCCAGCCAATATAGCTCGGTTGGGTCATCACGATAGGCAAGCCCGATCACCACGTCAAGGTACCAGCTATGGTCCGGATATGACTTCAAAAGATTTTCCAAAGGCCAGTTGAAAATCGCTATGGTAATTGATCTTAAAACCTTGTGTTAATTTAAACCATACAAATGCCTAGAGATGGTCTAACTCATTGTCTTGAGATATTATCAGGCATGGGTCGGAAAAGAAGTCAGTAGTAATCCTACTATCGTTTTATTATAAATTTCTCATAAAAGTATGGAAAACTTAACTAAAAGGGCTTTTTCCACTGTATTTTTAACTTAACTATAGCTCCTGTAATATAATTCCACTTACCTCCCCTCGTTTATTTTGTCATATTGTATTCTTATTCATGTGTCAATCTTTATGCCTAGATGTTAAAGATTTTGTGCATTAAGTAAACAAATTAAATAATAAAAGCTAAAACAACTTACTCCTGCGGAACGGCCTTGTTTATAACTAGCTTCTCGCATCGCTTTATCGGCACATCGCTTCTCGATTTTCTCAAGCCTCTTTTAGAATATGGTAAGTCTTGGATGAAAACGCGTTACCTTTCGTTTCTTCCATTCCATAAATGTATGCAACGTAACTCTGGTTTGATTAAGTCCAAGGGCTTGCCTCTAAAAGATAAGAATCCCATGTAAGACCACATGTTAGATTAAATAACAAGACCTCAGTTGTTAGCATCAAAGCAGGTCAGTTTTAATGACCCGTAAACGTAATCTTAATGTAACGAACCAAAAATGCGCCTAAGACAGTAAAAGAACAAATGGAAGTATAAAGCTGGTTTAAATACTAAGGATTAACTACTCACAGTTAGATTGAATTATTTATTTAGGACTAAATATAGTCTATATATATAAACCAAATAATAGATTGTTTAAACTGAGTTTATTTTGTCCTTATAGCATGATGATTGAAAAAATACTCGTGAACTTGACCATATAAGCTCTCAATTTTATAATCAACCCTAGATTATATCCGGTTCAGAATCCCATCTCGGTCCCTAACTAAACCCCTAACTTTTTCCATTCCTTTTATATGAAAGGACTAGAACGTTTGAACACCCTATACAAAAAAATATCCACTGAAAGATTGGAGGAAGTGTTTTGGAACAGAATCTAAGAGTATTGCTAACAATCTTAGATTAATGCCTGTAATCAGTTAACAAAATATACATCAAAAACCATTCACATTGTACCACAATCTAGAATTATTTTCCAGATCTGTAAACTTGTACACGACTTTTCCAATAAACATAGAACTCCAATCTATGATTTTAGATACCTGTTTCAGGAGTTAGTTTGTCACCAATGTTTTTTTATGTCACTGTTTTCATCTAAAAGGAATTTTATCGAGCCTGTTAGCTTCTGAACTTAAACGAAGTGATGTTCCCCTTGGCAAGTGGCGCATATATATTTGGTGCCCTCTTGTACCAATATTTATGTGTTCAAATAAATAAATCAATACTAACTGTCACGTGCTAATCGGTATATAGTTTATTAAAACCTAATATGTGTACTTATCGACTTTATGCTAAGCTTTGTGATGTGTATTAAGAAGTTTAGAAGTCAGTGGCTGGACCTACTACGTGATGTACCAATATCCATTATTTTTCCCTGGTATCAAAATGTCTTTTAAGACACTTCATCCCTTCATTTTAATGCCCCTTCTAGTTTGACTTTCGAATCTGCCAAACGAAAATTCGAATAGCTAAGCCTTTATGGATGTCTTAGCACTATCAGCATGTCTACTCTAGCGTTTAATACATTATCCTTATTTCAAGTGACAGATGAACACGGAAATCTGGATATTACGAATTTGACTGAAATAGGTCTTTATATACTCGTGCCAAAACATGACCAAATTACGTACCAGTTTACATCGAAAGCTACTTTTATTCACTTTTGTCACTACGTAAGAAATAGGTGACAAAACAAGATTACCCACAAATACCAAGATAAATAGGAAACATGAATGAGTGGTTTTATGGTTTATATATACCTCACGTTCAACTAAATCCTCTATGGATATTATTTCCTTCTGTTCTTCCATTTTCTTCTTATCTCGTTGTAAGATAAAACCTAGAACGATTAGTTGCAAACGCAAACAAACCAGGAGGCAAGGCATGTCTGTAGTGACATGTCTTTCCATTCGGGCACTCCCAAAACCAACCATACTTGAAATTTTCCACTGCTTCAATGAAGTACTTACATACCTAAAGATCTGATGTAAAAACTCACAACTTACTATAGTACTCGGTGGCAACCCTTTGTTATCAGCATCGTGCTTTTTGCTAATCACTTCTTCTAATTTATTTATGTCCCAGTCATCCATAGTACCGTCCGTTTTATCAGAATCTGAATAAATCCCACGCTTTTCAGCCTTCCGTTCAACAGTCAGGTCATGGGAGAATTTGCACTTGTCACCTTTGGTACACAAACCCTGTTTGAAGAAGACGCACAGAACTGACTTTGGGTCAACTCCTGAGGAATACAGCTAGCACAATATATACCACTCACCTTTCGCACACTTTTGTAATTCTAACACAGGTTTGAACAATTCATTAAGTTCGACCTTCTCTTTTTTCTTGTCTTCCTTCGATTGTTTTTCACGCTCCAACTAAATGAAACTCGACTAGAAAATGGTTTCGCACCTCTTTAGCCGACCTGTTACCTTGGGTAACTTGTTTTTGTACTTGTTGGATGAACTTTTGTTGCTTAGCCCCTTTTTTATTTTTCATTCCAAAAGTTTTGTCCTTGAAGAAAAATAGTATTGGCGAAATTTATGGACTACTTCAACGATTTTCTGCTTCTGTTTGTCCACATTCTTTTTAGAAGGTTCATTTTTCTTCGGGGGCATCTCGTATCAACTAACTGCAAACTCGCCGCGCCAGTTGAGCTCGGTAAATAGTTCAAATGTTTCAAATGGTTATAGACGGAAGAGAAGTAGCTTTCCGTATCTAGTAACAGACTTTAGACTCTTAAAAATTAATTTTAGTTAAAATATCATGTCCAAATTGATCCTCGATGTTTCTTATCCTACAGGAAAACACTAGTTGGTATATTTATAGCAAGACTGTTATCTAAGGGACGAGGTTGCCTACCTCACAACAAACCCTCGCTCTGTGCGAGCTTTGTACAGGTAGTGACTCTGGAGAAGTTAAATGCGTATGGAACTACTCACCATACACCAACTCCCTTGATTATGACAGGGCGTTTGACTGTGCGGATAGGAGAACATTATGGACACTTGTTCGGTACTATGGAGTGAGTACTTAGGAAGATTATCAACCTTCAAACGGAATCCATATGACGGACTACACTGCAATGTGGTGCACAAAGGACAGCTAACAAGCACATTCCAATTGAGAACCGCTATCAGTCAAGGCTACTCACTCTCGCCTCTTATTCTCTCGCTCTAGTGGTTGGCTGAATTATGTAGGCGTCCACATCTCAGACGAAACACGGACTACAATAAACAGCCTCCATACAACTTGACAAGCATATTCCAAGTGAAAAGCGGAGTCAGACAATACTTCTTACTCTCCCTCTTTCTACTGGTATATATTCCTCTAGGGATTGACAAAATTTAAAGAAACTTGGATCAGTACGCTTGTGTATCAAGTTGCCTTTCGCACATCACTATTTATTTGCATTCATTCATCTGAAATCCACCTAAATGCACTCTGGGGTTAACGCCGGTACCAAACTCAAATAAAGGAGTGTTGGGTATGGGGTCGGCAACACCAATTCGTAAAAAAAACACTAACCAGAATAAACAATTTATACCATTCAAACTCTGTCCTCTAAGTTGAGGGGTCTTTATTCAAAATTGTGATGCCTCATAGTGAAACCCAAGATTCTTCAGAAGTACCGAGGATGATGCCCCTCATAACAACCAGAGCAACAATTAATGTAGGCACATGGACAGTCCAAAAAATGTGGGAGACCGAAAAGACCAGTCGAATAGCTACGGAAATGATGAGATACAACTCGACGGTGCTCGGAATCATGAAACCCATTGGACACAAGCTGGACAGAAAAGATTAGATTCAGAAGAGGTGATGTTGTGCTCTGGTCATGGAGAAGGAAATGCTCCACATACTCAGGGAGTTGAACTGATGCTGTTCAAAGAAGAACATAATGCACTTATAGGATGGGAATCTCATGGATCCAGAATCATAAGAGCATCCTTCAAATCAAACAAGCAGGGAGTTAAAATAAGTTCTGTTCAGTGCTATTCACCCATCAAAGATAGCGATGAGGACGACAAAGATCAGTTCTATGACATGCTTCAGTTGGTCGTAGTGAAGTATCCAGCAAGGGACCTGACCTGTCAACAACTATATGACACAATGATGGAACTGGCAGGGAAATTCAGTAAACCAGAGAGACCGGTCAAGGACAAATAAGACAGGACAATCACCGACATTCAGGGACAGAGGAACAAGTGGGTACTTTGAACATTTTGAGCGAATCATGAATAGATCAGCTCCACTCAAACCACCATACATCGAGGCAGCACACACAGATCTTCCTTATTAAGCCATCAAGTGAATGGAACTGGTCACTATACACCAACTCCCTTGACTATGATAGGGCGTTTGACTGTGTGGATAGGAGAACATTATTTACATGTAGTAAGCCCATTCCATTACTGTATTATTTATCCGCTCACTGTAATTTAGACACTTAATCCACCAAGTAAATTTCTGTGTGAGTATGATTGAGCATGTAGAATTATGGTCTACTATGATATTAGTATTGCTCTAATAATAGACCTAATCCTAAATTTGTAGATTTGTCATGATATAACTGCCTAATCTATAAGATCTTACGTGGAAGTCACACCATCGACTACGCCAACTCACTGTATCGTATCAATTACCAATACATGATGTAGAACAAGGTTAATCTAGAGAAAGAACAATATATTTAATGTGAATAGAAGATATAAGATAACATCCAGCAGGGACCATGCCTGCATGGCCGAGCCATGCCACTCGATCAACTCCAGACCATTCAATTCATTGTCCGCGCCTTCTCCATTGTTAGGTATTTCTCCGCGTTAAATATTGAATATCTATTTTCTGAGTAGTCTCGTGTTCACAGCTTTGTGGATTGTGTGGCTATTGTCCAATGCCACTACAAGCACATGTCTGCACATCAATTTTCATTTCTATTCTCCCATTGGTTGTAATACACAGATAATCAATAACTTATCCATACTTGATTAACACTCATAAATATATATATATATATGGATTTTTAACACTCACACTCACACTCACACACACACATACACTTTTTTCACTGTGTGCTTGCTTCGTGTACGCTTGCGGATTTTACCAATTTTTAACAGTAAACTATCTCTATAACTGGTGTTCAGACTTTTGAATAATCTCGAGTAAATCGCTAATTCTACTAGGAGATTCAGCCTGCATTAAATACTCAGTTAACGGGATACTATTTATTGGAGTCAGATATAGAGGACACTAGCCTCTACAAAGTTGATGAGCCACATTTAGAACACACACTATTTCTCTACAGTAGTCGACTGGATTATGAAGACCTCCACATCTGACGGGAAGCACGGAATACAATAGACAGCTTCCATGCAACTAGACAATTCGAACTTCGCAGATGGCCTAGCAATCCTATCCCACCTAGTCAGCAGCATCATCATCGATGTACAAGGAGGATCTGATGCACAAGTAGAGACAAGGATTCGAAAAGTAAGCGCAGCATCCCTACAGTTGAACAACATACGCAACTCCAAACAACCGTCTCTAAACCAACATCAAAGTCACAATCTTCAATGCGAACGTCAACACAGTCAGTCAGTCAGTCCTACTGTACGGAGCTGAAACTTTGACAACTAGCACAACCATAATCAAAAAGGTACAAGTATTTATAAACAAATGTCTACTCAAGGTACTCAATACATGTTGGTCGGATGCCATCGACAATAAACTACTGTGGGAGAGAACAAACCAGTTTCCAGTTGAAGAGGAAATTGGCAAAAGACGTTGTGGGTGGATAGGATATGCACAGTGCAAATAACCAAACTGCACATTGAAGCAAGCGCTAACTTGGAATCCTGAAGTTGAAATGAAAAGAGGAAGACCAAGGAGCACATTTCATTGGGAATTGGAAGCATACATCAAAAGAATGAATAGCACTTGGAAACATCGTGAAAGCAGAGAGGAGGACGGAGTTCGATAAAGAATCCTGGTGGGAAGCTTACGTTTCCCTGCATGAGTTAACATGCATATATATGTAGGGAAAACTATTTCCATAATTAACATTTACTAGCTTATCAGGTGGTTATAATTTATGATCTGTGGGTAGGGTATCGATGCAATGCTTCAAATGAATATAGTTTAAATTGTGACTTTATAAACAATGTATGAACGTTTAGAAGTGTGTAATGAAGGACAGATGTTTAATGAAGCAGGCGGATAAATGATGGAATAAAATGGTCATAAGGCAACGGTTAGTGAAATGGAGTTGATTGTAAGTCAGCTGTGTGCATGTAAATGAGTTAAAATGATGGGAAACAGATGAGAAAGAACTTACGCTGACTCAGTGTTGATGGTATTTTGTGCAATCCCGACTGGTTGGTGGGTTACAGGCTCCATAGTAGCTAGATTACTGTTAGTATACAAGAGATTGTAAAGTTCACTCGACAACTCTCTTAGATAATAATGAGCTTCTCTTGAGAGCGATTAAAGTTGGACAGCATCGACAAGCCCGATGAGTCATCTGTTTACTTCAAGGGAAAATTAAGGAGGAACATATAGCTCAGGCGACATCAAATACAACTGCAAAGACGAAGAGAAAATGGAATTAAGCTCGGAGTCTGATATGATTTAGGCATCTAGAGGGCCTATTATATCTGAGTAGGGTGCAGATGTGTTCGCACACGCTATGCCAGTGCAAGCGAAGGCTTCATCAAAAAGTGCTAAAAACGTATGTATTCTATTTGCCATGCATATTTCTGTGGAAAGAATGATCCATAATAATCCATCCTTGATGAGGAAGAAGATTTTGGATCTCTAGAATTATGGTCTAATATGATATTAGTACTGCTCTAATAATAGACCTAATCTTAAAATTGTAGACTTGTCATGACATAACTGCCTAATCCATAAGGTCTTACTTGGAAGTCACATTATCATCTACACCAATTCATAGTACCGTAACAACCACCAATACATTATGTAGAACAAGCTTAGGTTAGAGATAGGACAATATATTTAATATGAATAAAAGATATAAAATAACATTCAACAGGGACCACGCCTGCAAGCCCGAGCCGTGCCATCCGTTCAATTAGAATCAACTCTCTACTCACTTTTCCCGCCTTCTCAATCGTTGGGTTTTTCCCAATGTTAAATGTTGAATATCCATTTCGCCAATTGTCTCGTGTTCAGCTTTGATGATTGAGTGGTTAGGGCACAATGCCACTACAGATCTGTGACTTTCAACTTCGACCGTGGAAACTTTATCTCCAAGTTCGTAAATATGCGAGTCTTGGGTAATAATTATATCACAAGTTGTGTAAGTAAGATTTTCGAGGAGCTTGAAGCCTTCTTTTTCAGAGGGCTTCAAGTCTCAGAATATGAGATCAAGAGCGACACTCATTAAGTAAGTCAGTCATAAGCATTTAGCGCGAGAATACCCGTTGTACTCTACGACTTATCTGATGCATATCTTGTAAAGAATGAATGTAGATTTAATTTGAAAGAATTTACGATGAATGAAGTAAGGCAATTTCCGCATTTCAAGTGCTTCAGTCTAGATGTTTAGAAAAGTTCAGACTGTGCAAACATTTCTATGTCAATCATTGGTATAAACCAGTTGCAACACCATAAGCTATTTATCAACCCTAGCAAATGAAGGTTAG